CAAAAGGCTTTCACGCCACCATCTTTGATTATACCCATTACAGCTTGAGTGGTTGTAGTCACTTTCGAAGATTGACTCCTCGTTTTGACAGTATCGAAAGGTTGTGTTGCCAAAGTTGTGATTACACCTGCCGCTGCCCCATTTACGAAGTTCACGACAGTATTCTGTGGAATATCTCGTACGACCTGAAAATCCTTGATAATGTTGTACGAACCCATCCTGAAAGAAGTTGCTGAAGCTTGTTTGAGAGTTGTGTCAATGAAACCTCTATACAAACCTACGAATCCATCTTCTTTGAGAATGGTACGTATGCAATGCATTGTGGAATTATATTGCCTCGTGGCCCTGGCATCATCAATCAGCGCCGTTTTGATCCGTTCAGTAGGTGTGACTGCAAAGATGCTGGCTGCAACTCCCGCTGCCATGCCTGCTAACATATTACGACCGGGAGATAGAACACCAGTCTCCGGATCTCGAAAAACGTTTTTGATGCTGTCATACGAAGTAAATCGTACGGCATCTTTTGCAATAGATCCAAATACTAATGCACCACATCCCTTATACAAAGCTCTGATACTTTCTTGTTTGTATATTTGTAGAACAATCTGAAATGGATTCCGTGGTAATTTATATGGACCAGAATGCAGCTGTACTCTGGTTTTGGCAAATTCCAACGGGTATGTAAGAGCGCCTTCTACTCCTCCAGCAATTCCACCAGATAGCAAAGATACAATTGGTGGTGTCGATGCGTTTCCGTGGCCACTCATTGTAAAAGTATGTGATAGTTACTGATATAGTGGGCAAAAGTTGAACGTGAAAGGGAGATCCCAAATGATTGCGCAGCCAAAGATTTTTCTCTCATAATTATTAATAATTTAGGTTCCTTCCACCGTACCAAGGTACTGTTTCCATGACTTCAATCTATGACGTCTTAGTTTCTCGGTACTTACTTGTCAACCTCACCAGTAGATCGGCAGTCGGTACTGTGCGTTCGCCTAAACTTGCCGAAGCCGACGATATTGTAAAATAATTGTTGTAGATTCATCATTTTTAAACATTTGGTGAAAGAATAATAGCAATATGGTGTCTCGATTTAGAGATGCTGGTGCCCGCTCATTGATCATCCTGACGTCAACGCAAAGCCGACAGCAATGTATACACTGTTCATCAATCAATCAAGGGCAAAAATTCTAGCTAACGGTCGCGGTATTATTTTTAGAGGAAAGTATGCGAAGTGCTCATAGTAGCAAATCCTTTCTTTCCGTTCCGAGCTGCGTCTGTCATGCATTCAGGGTGAATGCCTCCGAACTCCCCCAAGCACCTAACCTCCGCCCAAGAGCAAACGATCATCAAGCTTCCAGAAATCTCTCTTTTCTGACAATGTTGATCTCGTCTTTGAAAGCCTTAGCGGAACAAAACTTTGATACACGCTGTGAGGCAGCATCATGGATTTCTTGATTGGCCGGATTTGTTTCTTTTCTGAATCTTACATCATCCGACGCGTTTGAATGAGCATCACTAGCTTTGTTAGAGGATGCAAGATGACTTTGAGAATCTTGTATCATTTTCTTGGCCGCTCTTAATCTATTCAGATTATCTTTAGAAGATGATGTCTCACAATCGAGCCTGTTACTATTTCCTGTTTGTCTGTTCGTTGAAAATGCGGAGCTTCCAAACAAATCAATCCCAGTAACCGATTTCACTTGAAGGTGATTCTTGCTCCTGGGACTATCTCTAGGTTCATTCTGTTGTGACTCTGAATCCACGAAGGTTCCTCCAGTTTCTTTGAGATCGTCAAGTATACGTCTGCGTTTGGCCATGTGTGGAGATCTTGATTGTAGATGACGGTCAAGATTGAAGTAGGGCGACAAAGAAGTATCAGGCAAGCGCTTTCGATGACCTGAGCTTGTAACCTCTGTTGTAGGTACGGTATATCCAGGCAGATATTCAAGAATATCATCGTCATCTCGTGGTTTCCAGAACCTTGTAACTCGCTCATATGCCTGCTCTATCGCGTCGGAAACGGGAGGTTTCTTGTACCATGGATGATTTACTGCTTGAACAGCAGTCATACGTTGACTTGCGTCACTAGCCAAAAGGCCACGCAGAAATGATCGAGCTCTCCGATGAAGATAAGACCACTTGTTTGCTATTTCTTCTTCATCGGACGAAAGAAAGTTCTTGGCAGCTTGAATTTCTTCCAGCAGGGACAATCGGCCTCGGGGAATCGAACTTTCACCAGTGAGCAAACTCCATGTCAATATTCCAAATGACCACATGTCTGCAGCTGTCGTATAGCCACGGCTTATATCAGAACCAACGATTTCGCTATTATCAATCAGTACAAGTATTTGTCAATTGTCATTTTTAAAGATATACTTACGGTGCAACGTAACCCTCTGTCCCTACTGAAGAGAAGAGTCTGCCAGTTGTTTTGTCCGTATAATTAGCAAGGCCGAAGTCTGTGAGAATGACTCGAGAGCCGATATCGGTGTTTGTAATGAGAATATTTTCCATTTTAACATCTCTATGTGCAATTCCTTTCGAGTGAAGATATTCCAGAGCCAGAGCGATCTGTCGCGTAATGAGGCGAGCATGGGCGTCTTCAAGCCTGTTGTCACAAGAATCGAAGTATGTATATAGGTCTCCTGCCGCAGCAAGCTCTGTAAACATATACAGCCTGTCGTTGGAAAGGAAGGCCCTCTCAATGCGGATAATATTTGGCTATGATTTGTTAGTCTCGGCTATCTGAATACATATACGATTGAATGAGTGAGCTTGTCGTAACTTACATGATTAAGTTTAGACAGTATGTCAACTTCTCGCAGGTATGATTTACTCGCCAAATCGGTATCATATTGCTGACTTAATCCTGCAGAACCATGGGAGATAGGGTGCGAACGTCTTGAGGGACTTATTTTGATTACTTTACATGCTATCTGCTTCGAGTTACCAACATTGTTGGCAAGAAAAACCTCTCCAGCAATACCGCTGCCAAGAACATGGCTGGAAATGGTGTATCGATCTTTGAAATACTATAAATATGTTAGTCAAACATGAAAGACATGCTAAAAGAAAACGATGACATGAATACCTTTATTTCGATATCAGGCAAAGGCATATGCGATGTTGTTCTTGATCTTGGTTGGTGAAATCGAAACTTCCAATCGGGTCGGATCTCAATCAAATCACCGTCAACAAGAAGATGTCCAATTCTTTCATTTCCGACTATACCGATCAATACATTGTTCACATAGGTACCATTCCTGGATTCAAGGTCTTCGCAATAGATTGAAGGTGGGTACTCATCCAACTTTTCCGTATCATATATGATAGTGTAGATACGAAAGTGTTGCTTGGAAACAATCACACTATCGATGGAAAAATCACTAAACTCTTAGCAGGTTACAGATCGATTGAACAAAGTACATACCATTTCGTTTCTCTTCCCACATGAAGATAGCCTTTGGCAAGAATTGGAATTGCTGCAAAATCTATGTTAGATCACGAAAGGTTGATGAGACAAGAGGCTTACGAACTGAACTCTTGACCAGTCTGTGCATGCTCATACTTGAGCGATGCGACAAGGTTGTTACTGATGTCACGACTATTCCCTCCATGAGTTCCCATTAGGGATCGATCAATGTTCTCACGGTGGTCTTGACCACTGAGCTCACTATTCAAACCCGGTGCTTCCATTGTGATTTTAAGATATTGGACCAATGCTCAAAGAATGCGCGATTCACATCACCTTAGGAGAGATGATAGATATCAAGAGATTCGTAGGAAATGAAGAAAAAGGTTTCGAATGCGAATTTCTCAGTTTGAAACATTACGAAATGGCCGCAAGCAAATCAATAGTACAGATTGTGACTTATTAGCCAAACAACGCTTCATCATAGGCCATCTTGATTATGTAACTTGAAGATTTTCTTGATGTATCGCATCACCTTGCTTCTTTTTCACTTCTCCCGTCTTTCTTGGGAAGGAACGAAGGGAGCCACATGCAATTCCGGGTTTCACTATCACGTGACAAACGGGCATCCTTCGTCAACGAACTCCCTTCCATGCTTGGGAGACTGCGAGCCTTTGTTTAATCTCAGATCGTATACATTTTGGGGGGTCTGGTTGAAGTTTGAATGAAAATTGGGGATGATAGAAACATGTATATTAACAAGATTGCTTTCCATTACAACTGGTGCCAACCTTGCGACACATAGGCCTTACTGATGATCCTCTCCGACGACAAACTACCTGGTGGTGTCATGTCAACGTATATGAGACCTCTGTTGGTTTAGCAGAAATGTGTTACACATTAGAAAGGTTGATTCGAAAGTTTTTGAATAAGCCCCTTGGAAGATTTAGACGTATCGTAGGCCAAGTGCTATACTTTTTAAGCATTTATACACTCAGGCTTCTTTCTCGTGATATTAGACATTTTATTGTGTGCCAATTGCCTCAACATCTTACCTATAAGATTCTGAATGTTCATAACATCTTGTTGTGATACACTCAACATCATACAAGCCCGCATTGGAGCATCATTTGCCAACGATGAAGATGCTACATTTTGCATGTGGTAGACTCACCGATGAACTAGGTAAATATCTTAGATAAAAGGAGATGGTGCTCATGGAACTTTTGATTGTTTGACAATATATGAGAGATTGAGAGTGTTGGTTTGTGACTTGCGGAATGTGATTTTCTGAATATTTATATTGATGCCAGATATTGAGAGTGTCTTGAATGTGTTATATTGGTATTTGTGTATCGAAAGTGTTCTGGATCTTTGTATTGATGTTGGAGATTGGGGGACTTTGAATATTTATACTAATGTTAGAGATTAAGAGATTTTGAATGCTTGGAATAAGGTCAAAGATTAAGAGACATGAATGTTTTTATTGATATCAAACATTGATGTTGTCGTCTGGATGAATGCGAACCTTTGAATGGAATACCTGGCAAGCTCTACGTAACGTCATATCTGAAAGCACAGAAACATGTTAGAACCCTACACACCTACCAAGCACGCAGTACTTTTCCTCAAGTCGGGCCCGACCAGGTAAAGGAATCTATATTGGGCATCTTGGGAACGGGTAGACAGTCATGTGACTAGCCCTAATCAGTCAAAATGCGCTAAATTAGCTCGAAAATTAAGCGAGTATCAACACCCATATTTCGAGCATCAATCAACGGAACTGACTTCTCCTCCTCACCATCTTCATACAACTCACATTGAAAATGTAAGTTGAAATCCATCCATCCTACCTTCAATCGCTATTCAGATTGCATTCTATGCTTATCGAAAGCATTTGAATCATTGCAATCACCAAATTTCCCCTCATTTCCGCAAGAATGGATTTTACCCCTCCGTGTCTCCATTTGCATCACTTCCACATCAACAACTTCAAGTATCCATAACTGACAACCATCTTTAGGAGAGCAAAGTGGAGAAAGAAGCGCACTAGGCGCTTGAAGCGTAAGCGCCGCAAGACTCGTGCCCGATCGTAAGCTTCCACCTTCCTGTCGCTCCAGAACGAAGATTTGCTTTTGAGCGATCTTTGTCGTGGAGACAATTTTCTTTGTCGAACATCTACTAACCCCTCTACAGCAAGTAAACAACTCAAAACAACTCGATCTCGATACCCCTTACCTTTCGAATCCTAACATCATGACCTCTTAACCTCTTTTCGAATGCGCCATTTCTCGCACCAAATGTCTTCGCCTTTTTCAGCATTTCAGTATTCACCAACAAGATCGGAGTTCGCGCTTCGTTCAACGGCGGCTGGGTGTTCAAGGAAAGATCAGTTTGATGACGCGCACTTGTCAGCACGTGGTGGGAAGTTTTGGAAGGAAGCTGGATCGGTCAACAATGCAATGTCGATTTGTTCATTGAGGGTTTATGAACCAATACGTCATGGGAAATAAGCTGCCTCTGATGCTAAATGCCTTTATGACTACCAACCCGATAGGAATGAATAAGAAAAAAAGAAGTTCTTCTTCACTGATGTCACCTTTGCACAATGTGAAATGTCTTGAAAGTGATTGTGATTCCTATGATACTACTACTTTCGAAATGCTCACTGTCGTATTTCGAAGCCGTTGTTGTGATGTGCTTCATGCTTCCCCGCATACAATATCAAACCCTTCCCCAGATATACACAAACAAAATGGAGTGACAATTATCACCAAACCTATCTTTCCCCGCCTCGCCCTGGATGCTACGGAATATAAAATGCCCGTTGGACTTCTCAAATTATCTTTAAATCTACTAGGCACTTACAGCTACCTATTTCGATGACAGCATACTTACAAACTAGGTATATAGATAAATTGACAATTGACCAAAATCATTGCGCGCGCCTCATAAATTGGATTACCTTGGAAGTCCACGTTTGAAAGCTCCAGCTGCATATGACCTGCTCAACACAACCCCGCTCATTGGTCAAGCCACCAGCATCTCAGCCTCGTCTGTTTTAGCAAAATGTCGGGAAAAAAGTTTCCAATTGCCGACTCATCCAAAAATTTATTTGATTTGCGACAGAACAGAAGCTTGTCGACCCGGCGCCTTCATACAATTTGCCCAGGCTTCACTTTGATCACAAAATGGCGGATAACATTGAGAAAAGCAAGAAGCGCAAGAAGAACGCCGATGGTTCTTCAAGACCCAGCAAAAAAGTGGCAATCGAAGAAGACAGAAATGTTCAGATTTCCTTAAAGGATGGTGATGAATGGGCTCCTGTAATTGGTATGTTTCCAAGTTAAGACCAGGAGAATGTTATAGTCTCAAAATGAGTTTTCAAGGTTATGAAAGGTTGACTCTTTATAGCATCCACTCCTGGACTTGCTATGCCGGCATCTATATCTCTCCAACCATTCACAAAACCTCGCAAGAATGCCCCTCAACGACCAGGACGAAGCGGAGCAATTGCTACAACAGAAGTCCTCCTCCATTCCTCAGAACATCCAAAGCTTGATTATACTGCGCGAGAGGAGGAAGCGGGTGGGTCTGATACATTATTGAAGCATTATGTTGGTGTATACGATCCAAAGACTGGAAAATTAGAGGTTATGGAAGCGCGAAAGATGGTGGTTCGTGGAAGCGTTAGAGCACATCAAGCTACGGAGGCTGAATTTGCCAAACATGTAGGTCTATTGCAAGGGAATTTCAGAGCGGATGCTAACACTACTCGCAGACTATCAGAGAGCTTCGCAATGACCTTGGAGAGACTTTCGGTACCAAGAAAGCGAAGAAAGCCATTGCTTCCGTTACCGAGAACGCCATCTCAGCAAACAGAGGCTCAAGATTACTTGCGGATGGTGCCAAGCCAGCGAAGTTGGATGCTGCAAAATCCGCAATCATTGCATCCATGGCAGAAGCCACATCTGGCATGGCATCTAGAAAAGACCTCGAGGAGCAAGCAGATGCAGCCAAGCCACGACCAAAAGCAGACCTTACCGCGAAAGATATCAAAGATGTGTATACTGTGGATAGCCTCATTGGAAGTGATATTTTCAAGTCTGTACCGGTCTTGGAATGGGAACAATCAGTCAAAGCAAAGAAGAACATTACGACCAACTCGAGATATGTGTCGGCCAGAATCGTTTCTGCAGCTACCGCAGGCGTTAATAAGCTCAGAGTCTTACGATACCTCCTTCTTTTGTTGGATTTACATATGGCTTCTCGACCAATGCGAGGTGGAAGAATGCTGCCCAAGCGCGATGAAATGAAAACGAAGTTGGGTGACAATATACCGCAATCCGTCATTGAAGATGTACGACGCAAATACTCCGACGCTGGAGTCATGTCAAAATTCAAGTCTGATCTCCTCATCACCCACGCATGTGCTTTAGCATGTCTGGTCGATAATTATGAAGTTGATCTGTATGATCTTCAGCTGGATTTGAAATTAGAGACGAAGGAGATGACTCAATATTTCAAGGAGATTGGTGCGAGAGTTGTGGGACTCCCGGAGGCGAGGAGGAAGGCATTGGATTTGGACAAGGCGACTGCCGCACAAAGGAGGACAGCGAAGTTGAAGTTGCCATTAGATTTCCCAAGAGTGCCATTTGGAAGGAGAGGATAGAATGAGCCGGGGGTAGACTAGGCTGCTAAGTGTAATTGGCGAAGCGGAGTAGAAAGGATATTGGTTTTAATACTGAAAATGGAGATAATGAAATCTATGGCAATTGACAATAAGGTACATTGGTTCATTTCTGTTTCTCGGTGATTCCTATAGGGGAAAGTGCTATTCTGGATTGTCAGTGGCTTCCCAACACACCCTTAACTCCTCCAAGATGGTAAGTGCAGTGTGAGCACACAAGTCACTCTTGCTTCGTAGTCGCAACTGCCGTCTTGATTTGTTTACTCTTTACTATTTCTTGTGAAAATCTTCATGATTTCTTCTTCCTCTTCTTCTTCTTCTTCTTCATACATTCTTAACCAAGAATTTTGGCCCAGCATTTTATATCATTTTATCTTAATAATGTTTAGAGAACTTTTGAAGAGGGGGGGGGGTTGGTGGTTGGGGCTCTTACCGTTTGGTGCGGCTACGAAGTCGGACACTCCATCAACGCCCAGGTGGGCAAGCGGATTGGGGATGCGAGGAGTGTCTAGGCGTCGGCGCGAGCTGCTGCCACCAGGGCTCGGGGTGATGCTGCGATGACGGCGGCGGAGAGGGCCAGAGCAGAGGCGGAAATTTCCACCCTGGGCTCCTGAGTGTGCGGCGGCAAGCCACGGTAAGGTGACCCCACTGACTACTAACCCTCTCCTCAGCGTAAAAAAAAAATCGATTCTCGTATCAAGGCCCTCCAATACCGAAAAAAATCGATACTTGTATCAAGTCTGGTCCGGATCTCTCTCTTGATCTCTCTTGGTCTCGTTCTCGAAAAAATCAATCCTCGTATCAAGTCTGGTCCGGATCTTTCTCTCTTGATCTTTGGAAAGTCCCAATTCCTAGGGCAGATTTGGTAAAAAACTCCATTTTCTCTTTCTTCTCATTTATAATACTAATTATAGTTTATCTAGTATTAAAACATTCTCTCTGTCGACCTCTCTCTCTCTCGATCTCTCGCCATCTTTCTCTCTTGATCTCTTTTTGGAAAGTCCCAATTCCTAGGGCAAAATTGGTAGAGAACTCCTTTTCTCTTTCTTTTTAACTACAATACTAATCATTCTATTCGGTTTATTTAGTATCAACATTATCTCTCTTTCTCTTACATATACACCCACACTCTCTCAAAACCTTCAATTCTCATTTCAAGTCTGGTTGATATTTGAATATCATCTCTCTCTTGATGACCCCGAATCGAGTTAAATCTGGTACAGAGTTTCTCTCTCTCCTTTCGATAACAATACTGATTCTTCCATCAAGTTTATCTAATATCGAAATGTCCTATTTCTCATGATAACTCGAGTCTGCATCTCTCTCTATCCCTCCTCCTATCAAATGATAAATTCCTATATCGAGTCTCTTCGGCGTGGAACATTGCTCTTTTTCGTTTTCTTTCCTTATGAATCAGTCCTTTCATGAAATCTACCTGGCGTTGGATATCCTTTCTCTTTCTACTTCGATCAATAATCAATTCCAAGATTAAGTCTATTCTGTAATAAAAATCCTTTCTTTCCTCGCTTTCGATGGAGAAACTAATCCTCTTAGGTCTGCCTGGCGTTGGATATCATCTCTCTCTATTTCGATCAAATTCTCAACTCTCGTATTGAATTATCCTTGGCATGCCACCAGCACCAGCGCCAATTGTTCCGACTCTCTCCTTGTTCACGCTCCTTCTCACGCCCCTTCTGCTGCTTCGCCACTAGCACCAACAGCACCTCTATTTCCTATCCTGGACAAGTATATCTCGAAATAGAAGATTTTAAGCGGATAGGCCACGCATTCAATTAACATTCTTGTATCAAGTTTGCCATTCATTAAACCATTATATTCATGGCGTCTGTGTAAGGGAGATCGAAGCGTTATCTACAGTCTATGGCATTTTTATTGTTTTACACATGAAGGAAGATGGCAGTTCTATTTGGGGTGTCTATGGTCTATATGATCTATATGGTGTTTGTAGTGTTTGTGATGGTTTGTGGTGTTTTGTGGTGTCTGTAATCTTGGTGGTGTTTTGTAGGAGATTGTGGTGTTTATGGTCTATATGATCTATATGGTGTTTGTGGTGTTTTGTGGTCTTTATGGTCTATATACAAGAAGGGAAATCGGATGTTCTGCAATGTTTTGCTCTGATGGAAGATTGGAAGGAGGAGAAGTAGATCTCCAGGGTTCTCAGGAGGAGGAACGAGGTTCATATGCAGGAGGACAACGTCAATGTGTCATGATTGGTATCTCTGTCTTTTTGAAAGAAGGGTGAGGGAATGATGGCAATTCAGTTTAAAATCTCAAGGGTCTGGGATAAGCATTCCATTTTGGCGCTTGTGCCGAAAAGGATAAGAGTTCAATTCATGATGTTTGGAAATGTGACGAGAGAAAAATAGTAGGGGAAAGGGACAAAGATTGGTTTATGTTGGTTACTTTATAGCGAGAAGGGTGGGAGTGAATTTTATGGTGCCTGTGGCAAGAAGTGTGACGTCTTTTCCCAAGAGCAGGACAATGGACACTGGAATGTGAGATGGCGGGACTTGGTTTGAACCTTACAGGAGCACTGATTTATGAGGGAAAGAGACCCTGAAGGAGCCGCGAAGCTCTTAAATGGTGCTTCAAAGAGATGTTTGGAATAGCTGGGATGATCAAGACGACGAAAATATGACATGGCCTTTGTAATAACGGTTACGGGTGTCTTATAAATTATTGGGATTGAGAGAATGGGAGAGAAAGGAGGAAATTCTATGGTAAACAGCAGTCGGCCATCGCTGGGCCCACAGATGGTTGCTCGATGTGGATATTTTGTCCAAGCTCCCTCACCACACTACAACACACAAGCCATTGCCAGATACGGCGGATAGACAACGTTGCAAAGCTCTCGATACTACCCTGAACGTGTATATTCTCAGGTGCCTTCGCATACCATACCACGAAAAACAATACCAAAATCGGCGAGCATACGAGAACACAAGCTTCAAAACGTTGATCTCGAGACGCCAGGCACAGAACCAGAAAGTCGATATTCCAAAGCTGGGGGATGCTGGACTTGAATAATGCAACGGAATAGCTATGAGGAAATCCCATCAAGCTGCACACCAGGGCACCCTCAGCTAAACGACCCTTGCAAGGACGCAATATCTGCACAGAACATGACGACAGCAGCTTGAGTGGTGTAATCCATTGACTCTCGAGCATTGTACCCTTTTTTTGAAGCAATTAGCAGTGAGGTCTTCGTCTCTCGACACCACATTTCGATCTTCAAACGATTCTAGCCCCGACTTTCGAGCAATTTCTAAAACAATACTCGTTTTGTTTCAGAGCTTCGACATGACATGCGGCGCAGTTGCTATCAATCTCAAAGTTTTTGCGACAGAATCACCCTTAACCAAACGGCTTTCACGTGTACTACTCGAGTACTATTTACTATCCGAAAGCGTCTTGGGGGTCTCCAAACTTGAAGTGTATTACACCAACAACACTTTGCATAATTGAGTGCAACAGTTGTTATTAGTGCTATGCTGACACTGATCTTGTGGTAAAGCTTTTCACGGGTTGTGGGGTTGTGGGGTTGTGGGGTTGGTATGAAAAAAAAAGGATAGTTGAGAACAAAACTGTTTGTAGTTAGATGATCATTTAGACACACAAATCCAAAATGCAATAACCTAAAACTCTTATTCTACTTGTTTGACTTCTATCGGTATGCTCTAGTAGGTGATTGTGACATATAATTTGTCTTGGTTCAAACTTTAACTCATGAACTATTTCATACGCTTTTGATTCTGTATACACCCTTTTTTTCACGAAACGCACTCAATCGCGATGTACATGTTCGCCGGGCACGCATGAAAACGATCATGTATACATAGCTAATATAAATGAACGGTTCTCTACTCTACCAGCGATTCGATCATAGTCTCTTACTCTTAGATTTTAAGGATATTTTGAACCCTGGTAAAAAATCATCATATTAATAAGGCTTTTGTAAAAGAATTTGTATATGACGTAGGATTTCTATATTAGTCTAGACCTAGCTCCTTCTTCTGAAGTACTGGGTAACTGTATAACATAACCTTATTAGGAGGTTCGGTAGTCAACGAATCATTAGTGCTATACCCCGCGCACTCGGAAATTTAGAACATTAAACTATAGTTACTTTTAGAAATTCAAACTCTTATATTGTTGGACTGCAGTCCGGACTATTGGATACGTTGTTGTAGCATTTGCGACTCTAGTCTCTAGGAATTGGCTTGCAGAGCTCAACGAATTCAAGTTTTGCTAGGATTAATCTAGAGGCGAGCGATAAAATCAATGTGCTGAGGTTCTGATGGAAAAGTTTGGGTATGGTATAAGGGGGATGTTCTCTAGGTGTGATCCATACTCACTAGTACGGTAGCTTCAAATCAAGACACACTTCAAAAGGCCTAGGCCTACCATAGAGGAGAATTCTAAGTGATCTCTTTATCTTTTATATAATAAAGTATTGCTTAGTTTAAGCTAGTCTTATACTAAGATATCACCTAAACACGTTAAACACGTGACATACATCACAACTTCCAAGACTACTGACAGCTTAAAACCCAAAGAATTGCATATATATATATATATATATATATATATATAGAAAATATTCTTTCAGACTTCCTCCTCATATCTTTCTTCATATAACTTTTCCTGTCATTGAAACCTATTATCAAATTCCTCAATTCGGTTCCGACAATCAAACAATCAATAATTAATAACTATGCCGGCACGTGTAGCATTTAGGAGAATGCTCCCCCGTGCAGGGTTTGTGGCCAGCAGTGCGGCAATCGGAATTTCAGCTAGCTACAGCAGCGATCGTGCCTTCGACTATATGATGGGCCCGACGAAACCTCGCTCCAAACGAAGTCCTTCGATGAAAGCCATTGAACCGACAGCCCCCATCATGCTTTATCGGCATTTTAAACCAAGCTGGCAGACAATGTGTGCTATATGTGTCTACCGTTGTTACAGCGGTTTTTGCCAAGGCTTTTGCACCGCCATCTTCAATGGCTGCAAAAGAGTATGGGACGAGATCAAAATAGACAACGAGGCGGCCTTGGGTATGTTTTCTTCGCATACACATACATATCTTCAGTTACTGACTGATATTCTTAGAAACCAAGACAAAATAAGCACTTGATAGTGAAGACAACTTTGTTGAGGACACTACATAATAGTGCGATACCTCTTGATCATCTTTAGACTGGAATGGGTAATGGCGTAACAGATGGGATTTTCTTCTGGGGGTTCAAGGTTGTCATTAACTTGTGGCGTTTGGACACTGGGATATAGCGATACCCGATAATGACTGTACACTAGTACCAGGCACAGCAAGGTGGGATCTCGGTTCGAAAAGGGTGCAATTGAGGAGTAAGATCATACTTCTCTATTCTTCGAAGTGTGGTTAATAAAATAAAATGTTCGTATTTAAGCATTACGAGGTTCCTTGATTACATTCCAAGCGCAAGGTTCCGAGAATCATCCATTGTCTCGATTAAGAATAATGATGTGCAGTGAGGCTCAAGATAGGGGAGATGAGCATCACGTGATGTCTTATTCTATATTTGGCTGGCAAGGTTATCCCCTTCAATACGAACTCAAAAGAGAAATAAAATTACAAATGTATGTGATGATCTGTGTATCTCGTATTTCCTCTCCTTTCTCAAACAATATAAAAAGTCATGTAACCCAGAAGCTGCCTTGATAGATGCAAGGAATATCAATATTTTCCTTTTAATTATTTCTCTCGCTTTTTTCTCCACCGTCAATTGTTACACCATGTCCAATGCCGAGGCCTGGAAAAGACGTTCCATATACCAAGTGCTCACCGACAGATTTGCCATAGAAGATGAGAATAATCCAGATAGAGGCCCAGATCCTGGGATGAGAGAATATTGTGGTGGAACATGGAGGGGAATAATATCTAAACTTGATTATATTCAAGGAATGGGTTTCGATGCAGTTTGGATTTCACCCGTTTGTTTTTCAGCCTCATCAGTGTTCTACTTGCATTTACTAATGATTCCATACAGATCACTAAGAACATCGAAGAATTGACTGAATATGGAGTTGCCTATCATGGTTATTGGCCAGAGGATATTTACTCAGTAAATCCACATTTTGGAACCGCTGATGATTTACTCGCCCTGTCGGATGCCTTGCACGCTAGGGGTATGTTTTTGATGGTTGATATAGTTGTCAATCATATGGGTTCGCCTCCCACAGTGGAATATTCCAGATACGTACCTTTTAATGATTCATCATACTATCATCCACAGTCATATATTACAAATTACGAAAATCAACAGGAAAGCGAGGAAGGATGGCTGGGGGATGGACATGTGCCATTGCCTGATCTAAATACGGAGGATCCTACCGTGGTACTCACCCTCCAAGCCTGGATCACAAAACTTGTACAGAAATTTAAAATTGATGGTTTGAGACTTGACACCGTCAAACATGTCAGGAAGAATTTCTGGCCGGATTTTATTCGGGCTGCTGGGGTCTGGTCGGTGGGGGAGGTATTATCAGGTGATCCTGACTACTTAAGCTCATATCAACCTTATGTTGGAGGCCTTCTGGACTACGGGACATATTATCCTCTGAAGAGAGCGTTTCATAGGGATGGCGGAAGTATGTATGAGCTGATCAATCTCCTCACTCCTGCATACCGATCGAAATTCCGCGACACGCAGCAAATGTCGACTTTCATGGAGAATCATGATATGCCACGGTTTACCAGCGACACGAACGCGGACTTGGCTGTTGTAAAGAATGCTATGGCATGGACTCTACTCACCGACGGTGTGCCAATTGTTTACTATGGACAAGAACAATCTTATTCTGGAGATGGTGATCCCGGCTCGCGAGAGCTGATGTGGAAATCCAATTATAACATCACACCGCTATACCAATACATCGCACGATTGAATCAGATCAGAAAACTGGGTTGGGACGCAGGATTTGGCACACATCTAACCACAAAACTTTACATTGAAGACAATGTTGCTGCTACGCAGAAGGGCCCCGTGCTCATGGTGCTGACCAACCTAGGTAGCCAAGCCAGATACAAGAATGTCTCCATACCTACCATGTTCAAGAATGGTACCATAATAGTCGACATTCTCACGGGAGAATCTTTCAAAGTCAAACGATCAACGAATATCACCATAGTATCTGGAGAACCTCGAATTTTCCTCCCTCTTGGTCTAGCAGAGAACATCTGTGATAATATTTCACCACCAGCTCAGAGTGCCATATCTAAATTCTTCTCCAAAATGTTTGGTGGCTCTTCTTCCTCTAAAACTGCCGCCGAAATCACCGATTGGCCATATGGTGAACCGGTCAACACCGCAGATATCATACTAAGTGAAAAAGATCCGGTTGCGGAACAGGCGGGAGTCAATATTCTGATGCCGAGCGTTCAGGAGAGTTCATCTCCTTGGTCTATATTTTATGCAGCTAGATAATTAAGCGATCAGAGTATACTTTGTTTTTCGAGTCACCGAGAAATTTTAGAATAACCATCATAATTAGAAGATACCTTAGATCATTACAATTCATTCTTTTTCCATGTCTCGACAAATTGGCAGACGTTTTCTTTGATCTTCTTGCATGCATAGAACTCATGCTTACTGTGTAGGCGGGCAGGAACTATAAATCCATCCTCATGAAGAGGAGGCATGTCTTTGCAGCTCTTTGCAGTTTGAGCAATCAGTATGACGATGAATTATCTACTCGGAGCCAAACAAACCCTTTTTCTCGATCACTATCCACCTCTCGACATTTGTCTTGAATTCATACCAAAAAAAAACTGATCACTTCTCATTCCAACTTTCCAGAAATCCCCACCCACTCTCCCAAGGCCAACAACACCTTGCCTTCCAGCAAGCCCCCAAGCTGTTCTCTCCCAAATTTCTCAGTTGCATCCAACACTCCACTCAATCCCATCACTTGAAAAAATACCTATGTACACCATATCCCAACACCGGCTTTGGGCCTTCCCCAATCGTTTTCTGGCCATTAACTGCATGATTAAAACCACACGCTAATAATTAGCTGCTGCCACCACAATCATCCTTCTTCACTTCTACGAAATCCTCCTTGCGGACTTTCAATCTTGAAGGAGGAATATCGTAGTAAATACCATGAATAACCGGACTGGGTGCAGGTACATCAGGATCCTCAACCACAAGGAAAAATGAATTTATTTCCTCACAAACCTCTGAATCAGTGTTGTGGGGTTAATGGAGGTAATGAACCGACATACGGAGGGATACATACTGAGTCGGTTTGTGGAAGAGATTGAGATTTCAATGCCGTACAGTACATTTGTCTAACCCTAAGCCCTTGTGCAACAAACATGATGTTCAGACAAAAGGAAAAATATGAGATACACGGTGATTATCCAAAATTTAGTTTGAAATGAAAGAAATTGCATCCTGGACTTTTTCCAAAAGGCACCTATCGATCAATCTGTACCCAAAGGAAAGTAATACACCAGGTACGAGACCAAAAAGGCAACAAACGAAAACATAGCCAGGAAAATCAGGACCTGTATTTTTTCAAAACGTGCCGTCCCCATCTCAGACCACAATATAACACCAAAGGCCACACTGAGGCCCAAGGTCAAATAGACGAGCGATACTTTGCATCACGTCAGCTAATTCAGCAGCACCCGATAGAAAAGACGGTAGACGTACAGCCAGGAGTTAATCCAAAAATATCCCTTTCCGCCCGCTGGGGCGTTCCTCCGCCAGCGAGCTTTTTGCTGGAATTGGCTTTCGATAAACCCAGTTCCTTCATTACGTATGCGAATAACAAGGTGCCAGCCTCAACACCGAAGATCGAGCGAAACGTATCGACGTCGAAGGTTCGGAGCTCTGCTCCGCGACCATATTTCCATTGCGCGGCCAGGGTCTCGGCTTTGTCCTTGGGGACATCGTAATGATGATGAAGGATGTGAGAAATGTATTCCCGGACTGTAGATGAGGGTGCGTCGAGCGGGGGAACTGGAACTGAAGGGGCAGTGGACATTCTGAAGAAAACTTGAGAATTTGAAGTTTTTTTTTAGTTTTTTTTGCAGTAATGCGTGAGGAGTTTTGAAGAAATGCTACAAGAGCCGATGAGTGGGAGAGAAATTGCCATATTATAGTAGGTTCTCTTTGGAGAATTGGAACACGGCAAGTCACATTATGGGTCTGAAGGCATCTCAACAGCGGGTACCAACAGTTTGCACTATGTCAGCTTGCATTGCTCCATTTAAGAGAATAAGCGTGTTGAGTCTGCAGGTTCATTTCTTAAATACATGATACTCGTGCTGACAGAAAGTATGCAGCACTCCACCTAAATATGGGCCATCAATCATCTTGTATTTTACCACCTTATGGGACATGCCTGTGAGTGGAGTGTGGCACACTTCTTTCTGGCCGCACGAGTATTAATTGGATATAAAAATTAGGAACACATTATCTGATGGATGACGAGAACCTGAGCAAGCCTAATCTGCTAACAAGGTATTCTATATTATAGAGAACGAGCTTTTTCTCGGTCTTTCGTAAGTAAAAATAACAATAGCCTCGCTAGTACTCTTTATAATTATTTTTAACACTACTTAAAACCTATACCTATATTCATACTATATCTTTCGAGATATTAGATTTAAGAATATTTTTATTATTTAAACAGGAAGCGGGGTTGCGACGGATTGAAAGAATAGTTTACTGAACCAACTAATTATATTAGATTATGTTGCAGGTGGCGGTCCGAATCTTCAATTCAATTGGAGTTAAAATTGATCAGTCAGTCGTAATATTACTGTGTTACTCTCTCACTAGCATGTTTTTTTTTGAGTGCCAAAAAGTGTCACTGATTTCTGGAGATATATCGGCGATTTTGGGATGATTGAACGCATGAATTTGTTTGAAATCATCTTTCATTCAATATTCTGGCTCGCTTAGATACCTCATTGACAGGAGTTTCCAAGAGATTACGCTCTTTTCCAGAAACAGCCTTGCGCTTCTTTTCACCAATATCCGATGTGCCAAATGCAGTCAATATACGAGCCATGCAAACACTTTTCCGATTATCAAAATTTTCTTGGTTCTGCTGCGTCCGAGATGCGATAAAGGAGCGAGCAGCGCTACCTAGCTTCACAAAATCATTCACCAGAGGCGGACTAAACTCAGCGCCATAGCGAAACGTATTAGCCCATTCAATCAGGTCGAAAATCTGTGAGACGGGATGTTTGTTGCTCTGGTGATATGACTTGGGGGTCTCGGGAGTGTCGATGGAATCAAGCGGATCGTAGAAAAATATCGCAGAACACCAGAGTCTAGTGACATTAAATCCTTCAGCATTAGATGTACGGATATAATAACCAAGAAGTGATAGCTTTCCAGCTAAACCTTTGTGCTTGTATACATTTGGGTTTTGCGTCATTACCCCTTTCAACCACTCAATCAACTTCGCCTGGAGTCCATTCAAAATTGCTAAGTCGCATGTGGATGTGGATGGCTGACTTAGTTCTCGAGAATTCAATTTAGCGAGAGATTCTTCATCCGAGCACACGTCGAAGTCTGTTGTAATGTATCTCGATTCCTCTTCAAACCCGTCCAAGTCCAGTTCGCTGTCAAACAACTCTTCAACGCTGGAGAAGATGCCATGCATTACCGGTGTGGAATCAGGGCTCACTGGAGTTTGAGTCGGTGTTTCTGCAATTACCACTTCGATAGTATCAATTGATAGCGATCCATCTTTGAGCATGACTGGTGGCGACTGAGGAACCTGCACTTCCTTTAATAATGGTGTAGGGTTTTTTGTGTATGGCGGTGGTAATGTGTCCTGTGGCGGCAATGTGTCATATCGATTTGGAGGTCCAAACATACTCCATTCTACTAACATAGCCCCTTGTTGAACGTACATTTCCTTCACGTTAGTTTTGCGTTTGGCAGTAATCAAATCCGCGTGTAATTTTTGTAAATTCACCTGCGCATAAGTACTTGGGCTGATGTATACACTGAAGATCTTCGTTTTGGATAGAGATTTAAGTCTTTTGATCAAATCGCTCGAGGTACCATCTTTGGGCGTAATACTCCCAGGAGTCTTCTTCCGCTTATTCATAACGACAAAACCACTCGTAGTCAGATGGAATTCTACACACATGACAAGTCCTGATTTGCTTATGCCAGCTTGGTGAAGGGCAGAAGCGTCGAGGAAAGATAAATCATCAATGCCTGATGCCAGAAAAGGTGTGAAGGAATCTGTGAAGTTGGCGTCCGGAGGAACAACAAACAGCATCTCCATTTGTTTTCGCGCAATAGATTGCCTGATAGATACTTTGAGGGAAAAGTAGATATGAATGTGACCGTCTGTATCAGAGCTTGCTGACATAAGAAAATTAAGATTCTGATTGTTCTGATGCGAGCAAGAGCCTAACGTGAAAGTTTCGCCTGATGATGAATCCTTCCATTTTACAAACACTCTCTCGCGAAGGAGAGGTGGTTCTTGTAGCTGAAGTCCCTTGATCGGAACCAATATGTCCTACTTCCGTGGTTATAATCAGCAATAGGTTTAGTAAAACAACAATTACATTGAAAAAACCACTAACTTTCGCAACCATGCCGGATTTAAAACAGTCGTGATTCTTGGAATACAATGAGACGTAGGATTGACCAATAAAAGCTAATCTGTGAGTTGTGTTAAAGCTGTTCACGATAGTATAACTTATGCTAAAGAACGTAACCACCACCACTATACAGATAGCTTCGGGTTTTTTCTACACAACAGATGCTCAAGAACTTAACCACCACCACTAGACAGATAGCTTCAGGGTTTTTCTAAACAACAAGTGCTAAAGAACATAACCACTTCCACTATACAGATAGCTTCAGGGTTTTTCTAAACAACAGGTGCTAAAGAACTTAACCACCACCACTAGACAGATAGCTTCAGGGTTTTTCTAAACAACAAGTGCTAAAGAACATAACCACTACCACTATACAGATAGCTTCAGGGTTTTTCTAAGCAACAGGTGTTAAAGAACGTAACCACTACCACTACACAGATAGCTTCGGGGTTTTTCTAAGCAACAGGTGTTAAAGAACGTAACCACTACCACTATACAGATAGCTTCGGAGTTCTTCTAAGCAACAGGTGCTATAAGATACGATTCTTGTACACAACAAATATAGAAGCAACTTTGTTGGCTCCATTGACAGATGGCGCTTGTATTATGGTAATCGATGGACGAACGGCGATGGACAAATGGCGATGGACAAATGGCGATGGACAAATGGCGATGGACAAATGGCGTTGGACAGACGCGCTTTTATTATGGTAATCGATAGATGGTGTGCGACAAAGATAAAGGGAGAGTTGAAATGGCGATGAACAAATGGCGCTTCTACATGGTAACTGATCGATGGTGTATGCGATGGGAACAAACTGAAGGATGAAAGATGGATGCTTCTCTCCGTAATGGATTTGTAGAAGCAAATGTAGTGAAGTTGTATTTCATGTATGCTTATGTAATCTTGTGATACGCTGATGTTGGGATAGGGTTATTCCGATCCGATGACATCTAAAATATTTGAGAATATCTTCAATTCAATTTTCAATCCAGTATACATCCTTATTAAATGAACCAATGATGATACAATCGGAAAATATTTGATTAGATTAAAGCAATTGAGGGCTTTCAGAATCTTGGGATTGAATTTTTCTAATTTGCATAGAGACGTGAACATTCAATAAGACGCTTCTGCAATGGTCCAATTAAACTGTGTACAAACATCTTCGATTTAGAAAATAGATCCGGGATTAAGAATCTTATCGCTGGGCTACCTGATGGCTATCTAAATGAACCGCTGCTTTCGCCATTTTCATCCTCATCATACTCCGCAGTAACTTTGATGTTGATACTCATCCTCTCAGCTACCCTCTCACACAACAAATTTCGAAGGAAACTTTTTCTTCGAAATACAACCCTTTCGCGATCGATTTAGATCATAGTTATTAAACCAAATTGATTGCAATTACCCCCAAGTGATTCTGATTAGTAGTTATTGTGATATTATTGTTGGCACTTTAAATACAAAACTCATATAAAAATTCGTGTAAAATTTTTATTTCAAATCTTTAAAATAAGAATATAACTTTTAATATAGATTGTTTTAATAATTCATTAACACTTCGGGATATAGTTATAATGAAGGCTTCTTCTAAAGCCTCCATTATACCAAATACTTATTCTATTATTATTCTAAGTACCCCAATATCTTCAAGTCTTTTCTCGCTTTTGAAAACCCTTAATTCGAAATCTCTAGTCTTATTTTATTAATCAATCAGCCAATCAGTTCTGAAAAAAGAATTAAAGAGTTTAATCTATTTAGTAATCCCTTTATTACTCAAGATACAATCAATATTATCTATATATTCAATTAGAATAAAAAACATAGCTCTACAATATCCCTTAGCAATTAGAATAAATAATTCAGAATACAAAACAAACCAATTATATTAAAGAAAGCAATTCTAAAAGTGAGAGACCTTATATTACTAGTATCCATTCTCATTCAATCATATAACGAACAATCTAAGTTTTTAGATCTTCTTGAAATTTTCAGAGAATATACTAAAAAGGGAAAGCTTATTATAGCCTTCAATATTATTGTATTTCAAATCACTCACCTCGAATCAGCTATACGGAAAATCGAATTGCAAGTTAAAATATTAGCCAAAAATCCAATCCCAATCACCACAATATTAATTAAACCTAATTATACAACTATAGTAAAAGAAGGAGAATGGAATCTAGTTAATAAAGGAAAAGCTATTAAGTCTATTTTAATAAACAAAAAGATTGAAATTATTCAAAAACACCTAATTCTAATTAAACCAGAAATTACAAATATTACCTCCTTCTCGCCTATATTAATACGAAACCAAATAAACAAAGTATTTCAGAAAATTAGAATCAAAGGCCTGATTATAATAACAGTAATCCTATCACTGAATAGTAATATAATAATTATTACAAATGCTCCTTTTATATTACAATTTCTATTAAAAAAGAAGACAATCTGGAGTAACCTTATCAAATTCGAAAGGATTCAAAAAGATCAAGATGTCACGGGATCACTTCTGGGAGTATTCAGAAGCTTTACCGCTGAGCTAAACGCCCAAAAGACTAGGAGGTAGAACTGGAAGTTCTACCTTACTCTCACATATATAGCAGGACAGGACA